AATCACCAATTAACCTCAGCATGTTTCTGGACTGTGGGAGGAAGCCGGAGAACCCGGAGAGAACCCACGCTTCACGGGGAGAACATGGAGACCTCCCCGGGATGTGAACCGCCGATCTTCTAGCTGCAAGGCGACGGTGCTAACCACCGAGCCACCTTGCAGCCCTAATTAAAAGCCAATTAACAAAAAACACCAAGTCGTTATTTCGTAGATGCACCTTTGGCTCCAGTTTCCTAATGATGGATTTAACTGTGTATTTCAGGGGATATTCAGCAGCGTGGAAATGTCCTGAACTTATCGCCCGACTTCAATAAACTTTTCAATGCTGCAAACTGACCATGATTCAATGTCGAAAAGCAATAAAAAGGGAAACTGTCTGAAGGCAGCGAACGCTTCCTGTTGGCCCTGTAGGTGGGAAGTCAAAGACAGAAAAAAAAAAGAAATCTCTTAACTTCCTATATGCCCTTGTAAGCTGTAACAAGCTAAACCAGCGCCTTTTCCCAACCTCACATTAAAAAAACAGCATCCATCGATTGCGAGACAGGAATTCTGTAAAGGCACGTATTCAGCCGCAGCCCAGTGGTCCCGTAAACTGAACCTGCACTATCCTTCCCCTTCAGGTGAACAGCAGACCGCTGAATCACGGAAACCAAATTAAATAGCAGTCATTTAGCTTCGCTGTATGTATTTGCTTCTTGTCAACATACCAGATGAGAGAACCGACAAAATCAATACACACTCACACACACGGAGCCAAGAAAGCACCGCTGCCAGCTGGGCACAAAAGATTAGGCCTGGTTAATTTGGTAGTTTTGCTATAATATTTACATATTTAATGATGGAGCCAGTCTTCTGGTGGGTTCTCCATACAGTGAGACCATGTTGTTGTCATATGACTGGGAGGATAAACAGAGAGACGACTGTACGTCTGCATGTCTTGAAAGAGGAGAGTTTTATGTGAAAGCAATTCAGCTTCGGGGTACGCCGTTCGTCTGGAGCGTCGCTGAACTATTAATATTATCAGCGGCTAATTTGAAATCACATGATGTCTGCTTGAGGTCTATGGTTCGCTTCACCAGCTGACCCAGTATTGGCAGGAATTGCCTCATTTTGTTTCCGCATCAATAAACCGAACTGTACATCTGCGGCTCGTGAAAACGTATGCAAATCGGCATTTATGAGGGCACTCCGAGATGCTGCTTGGCGAAAGGAGAAGCGACGGGGTTGAAACTGCAAAGTGCTGACACGGGCGAAGGGGGGGGGGAGCGGCGTTGCTACTTCCTGTCTGAAAACATCTGTTCGCGTAGTCTGTCTGAAAACAGACACGGAAATAAATCAACTGACACGTCGGTGCGTTACGGCGAACAAGCCGGATACCGCACACAAAGAGAAAACCCCAAACAAACAAACAAACAAACAGACAGAGCCAGAACAACATGGAAATGGTGCCGAGGTTTGAAGTTCTCTGAATAAAGGCACACAATTTGCAATATTCTCTTTGCGTTCCTGTATTCATACCAATATGCCTCGGTGGAGTTGCTTTCATCTAAAATTAGGACACCGCGAGTGTGAAGAAGAGAAAGAAGTTTGGGTGCTCGGCGGAGAGGCTGGGCATTGATCAGGCCTTCATCTGTCCCACGAGGTTTACAGTATGTCAAACCGGGACGGATGACTGAAGAACTCCTGCTCCTCTTTCATCATCTGCCATATTAGACATTCTATTTAATGACATCAGCTTTGAATTATTATTGCCCACATCCCATTTTTTGTGTTGCCCACTCCGTTCGTTGATTTTGAAAAAGAAAAAAAAGTTTGAGGAAATGTGTGTCGGATTCAAAACTCACCATTCAGCCGCGATTGGGCTTTTAGGTGTGAGGTTAGAAATGATTATGTCTAGATACCAGGATGGTCGAGGGACCCACTATCCCAGGATTGATGCTCCATGCCAACACTCAGTGGCAATGCAGACGACAGTGTGCCGTTTTAGAGTGGACGGGCATGTATCACGTCCGACTTT